GCCGTGGCGTCGACCATTTGATCTACTCGAGGGAGTGGGAAGCCGTCCTTTGGGCATGCTTTGTTGAGGTCGCTGAAGTCGACGCATGTTCTCCAGTTCCCGTTGGGTTTGATTACCAAGATAGGATTAGATACCCAACGTGGATAATGCGCCTCCCGGATAAATCCATTGTTGACTAACTTGTCGACCTCTTCCTTCAGCGCTTTGTACCTCTCAGGGTTCATTGGTCGCCGTTTTTGGCATTTGGGAGGATATGTGGGGTCGACATTTAGGGAATGACTCATTACTTTGGGGTCGATCCCCTCCATGTCAGAGTGGCTCCAGGCGAAGACATCTAGGTTCTGCCTGAGGAAATTTTCAATCCTGCTTTTGAGTGGTGGGGTCAAGTCCGAACCTATTTTTAGTATTTTGTGGTTCCGCTTTCGTTAATCTGGATCTCTTCCAACTGTTCGATGGGCTGAGACCAAGTAACTTCCTCTTGGACCCGAGGGTCTATATCCTCAACGAGGCCTTGTTGAACCATCCTCGTTTCCTGTCTTCCCGGCTGGTCATATCCGCGTAAGGCATCGGAGTATGCAACCCTGGCTTTGTACTAGTTGCTCTTAATTTCTCCTACGCCATTTGGGGTGGGGTATTTGACTTTTTGGTGGTAGACGGAGGTTATTGCCTTTAATGCCTGGAGGGTTGGTCTCCCGATTACTGCGTTGTATTGGGAGCCTCCTTTGATGACCACAAAGTTGGCTATCGTTGTTGCCTGTCGGGGTTTTTCTCCGGCGGTTATAGGTAGTCGGATAGTACCTTGAGGAATGATGGAGTCTCCCGTGAACCCGTACAGTGGCCTGGTGGTTCTTTCCAACTACCCCTCGTGGATCCCCATTTTCTCCAAGCAGTCAGAATACAGGAGGTCCACCGAACTTCCATTGTCCACCAAGATTCGACATACGGTGTGGTTTCCGATCACTGCTTCCACCACTAGTGCGTCGTTGTGGGGGAAATGGACTCCACTGGCGTCATCCTCATTGAAGGCCACGTCAGTGCGGCTTTGCCTCAGGATTTTTGCGACGGAGACGTTCCAGAACCTTTCCTGGTATACCCCCTTAGCCTCGTGGGCGCAGTCCTTCTGCGACCTCTGCGTGTCTCCTCCTATCCGAGGATCGTTCGTATGACGCCGACTGGTTCCTGATCTTCCGGGCGGTGGTTCTCCTCTCGGCGTCGACCGTCATTTTGCCCGCCATGGCCGTTGTTGCGGGGTCTTCGTTCGGCCCTGAATTCCTGCAGCCTTCCCTCGCGGATTATTCTTTCGATTTCATCTTTGAGGTCAGCGCAATCATTCGTGTGGTGGCCGACCTCGCCATGGAACCTACAGAATTTCTTCTGGTTCCTTTGGTTAGGATCCAACTTCATTGGTCCAGGTCAGCGCAGCAAGTTTCCTCGGCCGATCTGGTTGAAGATCTCCTCGACGCCTACTGTTAGTTCATGGTAGGTGTCGTTTTTCTGAAACGGTCGAGGCCTGCGGGTATCCTCCTGTCTTCGCTTCTTGGCCTCCGGCGCTCCTTGCGTTGGGATCGGTTGTTTGTCTCCACTTCCTCCTCCTCGATGCTTCTTCCCGTCTTGCTTTGATGATGTCGACCCCTGCTCGGCTCCTTTACCTTTATTGGACCTATGATCGGGGTCGTTGGCATCCGCTTCTTCAGCATTGATGTATCCTTGCACCCTTGTAAGGAACTCTTTGTAGCTGGAAGGGGGTTTTCGGTTTAGTTCCCTTTTGAAGGGAGTTATCTTCTTCATACTGGATAATGCTCCCATCAGGGCTTCCATGTCTGTGATATCCATTGTAGCGATGACGGCCTCGCCGTATCTGGCGAGCCACTCCCTTAACGTCTCATTTGGCTTTTGATATATCGTCGTTAGGTTCTGCTTCGGGGGTATGTATTTTTTAACCTCGATGAACTGGAGGGAAAATGCTTCCTTTAGTTCATCCCAGCTGGAGACAGAGTTTGGCTTCAGCGTTCGAAACCATCTTCGGGCAGAGTCTGTCAGGTGGTTCTGAAATGCTCGGCACATGATCTCTTCGGCGTATCCGTGCAAGAGCATATGCCCCGTGTACATTTCCAAATGGTCGTCGGGATCTCTTCGTCCATCGTAAGGCGGAATCGACGGTGACCTGTATTTATCGGGGAGAGGGGGTGCCATTATCTCCGCGGTGAATGGATGGTCGTGCGTACGACTAGGCATAATGTCGACGTTCATCACCTCGGCCACCCGCCCGATGTTCTTTCTCAGCCCTGCGACGTCCCCGGTTAGTCTTCTTTCCAGGTTGGCCATGCGTTCCATGAGGGTCCGCGCCTCTTCTGTTGATACAACTGAACCAGCAGCTCCCGGCGCTTTCGCCCTTTGAGCGAGGGGCCCACCTCTGGCCTGACCGCCCGCCTGCACCGACCCTGAGTCTCCTGGCCGGTTTCCTCCGGGATTTTGAGGCAGTTCCTCGATGGCTCGGATCCCAGTGGCTCTCAACCGGCTGCCGGAGGAATGGGAGGGTCGAGGCCTATGAGGGCCCTGATGGTCCTCTCTTTCCCCGGTCCCTTCTCGGATGTGCGGGCGGTTACCGTGATTTGGGTTTTCCATCATGGCAGGTCCCAGTGGTATTGGGGCATCCTCTAGTGGCGGCATGGAGTTCCTTCCGTCTAATCATTCAACCACGGTTACTAGCCCTCGTACCAACTTGGTTAAAGTGGCTATTTGGGCTTGCATCTGCATCGGATCCGGCCGTGGTATGTCGGGAGGTGGGACTCCATTTCTGTCTGGGCGTAAATCTCCTTCCATCCCGCTATTCTTTGGGTGGGCGGATGTTTGTAGCTATACTTTTGGGGGTCGAACGCTTTCGTTCCCCAGCGGAGTCGCCAATTGTTCACGGTTAGATTTCGTCAACAATAAACCCGCCGGGTTACCTTGGGGTTACCCTTAGGATTACTGGCTTGTGGGTTTAATGAAAGTGTGGATTCTAGTTTGATTTAAGTATTTTTGTGTTTGAACCAACTGTATGTAAATGAGCAGGAAGAATTTTATAGTGGTTCACTCTATAATATTAGAGCTACATCCACTGTATATATTATATTTCTTTGGTAGAGATCGTAGTTTACAAAATGAATGCTATCTCTCTTTCTCCCTCGTTCTTTTTCTTTTTCTTTTACAATTTTTTCTGGCCCCCTTCCCTATTGGGGTCCTTCTTCTTTTATACTCGGACTGCCTTCGCTGGGTGGGTTTCCTTCGTAGGTAGGAACACTCAAGTGCTCTAGGCCCAGACATAGCCCACTAATCAGTACTGTTCACTCAACCAATTAGTCTTCTATTACGGCTCTGTGAGTCTCCGTAATGCTTTTCTGTCCCCTGGGGGGGTTTGTAAACTTGCAATAAATGCTGTCAGACCTCTCTTATCTTTGCATGTAACCCATTATGTCGAAAAAGGACGTTCCCCTCGTCGTCAGTGGTTGTTTAACCTTTCTCACCCCTTCTAGTGATCTCTTCTGCAGTCGAGGGATTTTGTCGTGTCGACCCAGGCGGAATCAACCGTCGACGTCTCATGGGGTCGTCGCCCTAATCATGGACTTCATCTTCGGGCTCTATAGCTGATCGTGAGGGAAACGAAGCGTCGAGGGTTGGGTGCTCGGTGGAAAGCAAGTATAGCCACGTGTCTTGGCGCCGTTGGTCCAGGTGTCCATCACATTTTCCCACACAACAGCCACCCCCCAGGTCGAGGGCTCCTTTTTTTTAGGCGGCCTCAAGCTCTAGGTTCGGTTTGTCCTTTCAGTGCTTCAGGTGTGGGAAATCGGTCCCGAACCTCCGTCCGCAATGATGGCCTGGGTGCCTTGGGTGTATAACCGTCGCGTCGATTGATCTGGCATAATGATGAGTATCCGTGTTTCAAGAAAATGAATATAGACCGTTGGATCCGCGTCTTTTCAATTTTTCACCCTTCCCCTTACCGTCAGATACGGAGAGTGATCCCTGGCCATTGGTCTTTCGGGGTCTTCATCCGACGGTTGGGGGGTCTTTTTCCCCGACTCTTTAAATACTCTCCATGGACCCGAGGATCATTTTTTCCTTCTTCGAAACTTCAAAAAACTTCTTGCTGCTGCTTTGCCGGGACATCCGTACTTTTGCCGGAACTCTGCTTTGCTGAACTTCCGCCTTCATCCTTCCCGTTCTCCGAGGTGTACTTTGAAGCTGTCCC